TTTTCATACCGGCCACACTGGGTCCTCCCTTCAACTCGAGAACACCGACGTAATCGCCTTGAGTGGTGCAGACAACGGTCACTCTGGGATCAGGAATGGAACAGTATTGTCTTTAGTGACGAATCTCGATTTTGTTTAGGCATGCACGATGGTCGTGCCAGGGTTAGAAGGCGACGTGGTGAAAGGAGGAATCCACAGTTTTTTGTTGAAAGACATGTTCATCACACTGTTGGAGTTATGGTTTGGGGTGCTATAGCTTATGGTTCCAGGTCACCTTTAATCTTCATCAGAGGTAACATGAACGCGCAGCGTTATATCCACGAAGTTCTAGAACCCCATCTTTTTCCCTATCTTGATACCCTGGCAGATCCAACTTTCCAACAAGATAATGCCCGACCACATGTTGCAAGTGTCACAATAGACTTCTTTCAACATAATGATGTCACATTGTTACCATGGCCACCAAGATCTCCCGACTTATCCCCAATTGAGCACGTGTGGGATATGATGGGTAGGAGATTGCTCAATTTGCAACGTCCTCCTCAGACTCTAGAAGCACTTCGAGAGGAGTTGATGGTTGCCTGGAATGAGATACCACAGGAGGACATTGACCACCTGATCAGAAGCATGCCTAGGCGCGTTGGAGAATGCGTAGCACATCAGGGTGCATCCAGACATTATTAAAGGTCAAAGGGCTTTAAAGCAGTGCAATCATTTTGAAATTTTTATCATTTACTTATTATGCTTCATTAAGTACTTATACAAAATTTTATTAAAATAAAACCATTTAAACTGGGTGTTCGGATTTATATGTCACTTAGTATATTTATGAAACAGCCTGTAGATTCGCGCTAAAATGACATTGACTAGAGTACCACCAAAATGACGACGGTCACAATTGCGCTGCCACAACAGCGTGCAGATTTGCGGCAAAATAACTGGTGCATTCACTCATAAATGAAATACTGGCGCAAAATTAAAATGACAATTCGCATCAAAGTAATAACGTACAGATTCGCGATAAAATACTAGTAACCAGACTTCTATCAAAATGACAATAATGACAGTTGGCCCACGTTTATGCATGCGACTTCATTATTCATGTCTGACTTCATTGTCGAACATTGTTGTGACCATGCCGTGCGACTGAAAACGCGTTCACAGAAGGGAGCTTCCGCTAAAATCACAAAGGATAATCTTCCGCCAAAATGACAATCACTGGTGACAGGTGCGCTAAAATGAAACAGATCCAGACACACTGGCGCCAAAATATCAATGAATAGATTCACAATAAAATGCCAATGGCTAGACTTCCGCCTAAATGACAACAACGACAGTTGATTTAAAATGACAATGAAGAGATTCGCGCTAAAATAACAGATAATTTTGCACTAAGATGACAATGGATATATTAGCGCCAAAATAACAAAGTATAGAATTGTGTTAAAATGACAACGACTAGACCTTCGCTAAAATGACAGACACATTAGCGCTAAAATGACAATTGGCAGATTCGGGCCAAAATGACAGCGGTCAGACTTCGCTAAAATGATAACCGTCACAGCTGCACTAAGATGACAACAGCTTGACTCCGGTCAAAATGAAAACGGGCAGATTTGCCAAAAAGGCATTGACATCTAAAAAACGATTTGGAGATAGTGCTTTTAGTATGTTAATACATTAACATCAAGAAAAACCATGTCACTCATTTGCGTCGATCTGCCTATCTGTCAGCTAATCTTTGGACCGCCTATAACTTGGAAACTGCTGCTCGGATTTAGATAAAATTTTCACACAAGCTTACAACAAAAAGCTTTATCGTTTTAAAAATACCTTCCACCTACTAGTCGGTTTTTGATGGAATTTTGGCAGCGGGTAAAGCTATTGCAGATACATAAAGCCTTGTGGGTTATGAAAATCAGGCAAGTAGAGGCGAATTATAATAATGTGGAATATATAGGAGCAGCAATGCTGGGTACAATAAGAAACACACCATTCAAATATTTCCTAATTTTGATTTTAGCACTACTGTAATGTTAGCTGAATTTATGTTAGTAAAAGGAAACACACAATATATAATAATATTTTATTTCATATCTTTGGTAACACAAACTATTTGCAAAAATCTATCAAGTTTACTGGAAATGAGCATACGTAAAAGTTGACACTTCATGAATTAAATAAGTATACTTGTCTAGCTCGGCTCGCCTCACTGACTAGAATGACGTTGAGGTATAAACAATTATATAAAAACATCTAGGCTAATTAAGGGCCGTATCGTCAGTCGTTCCTACAATTGTAGTACGCCTTTACGGCCTCCTTGATTTTCATAGTTTTCTACTCTTCCGTGTAAGTGCTCTATTTTGAGGTTATGTCACTAATATCTATTTGCATCAAGTTGTTCATGCTTTTGATTTATATGATCTGTCTTATCAGCCTGAATCTTCCTACAATTCAAAAAGAAAACATAGCCTCACAATAGGAGAGCACTGAGGCTGACACGGAACAGTAGAAATCTAGAAATATTTGAGCCTTCCTGAAAGAGAGAAAATACTATAAAAATCAAGGAGGCCATAAGGGCGTCATACAATTGTAGGAACGACTGACGATACGGCCATAAGTACCAGAAGTATTAGTCCAATATCCCAATATATCATATGTTAACAGATGCAAAATCGGCAGATTATACATGCATCATTGACCATTTGGATAAAGTGGGAAGTACATCGGGACGTTGGTCGAACATCAGTCTGTTTTTCATCTGAGATTAACGTTTAAGACCAAATTGTCACCCTCTTCGAGAGCATAAAGTTATATCCGCTGGGTGCTCGATGATAGCTTTACCTAACGGATGTCGGACTGAAATATTAGTGCTTGTGGATATTAGTGAAAATCCCTAATAGATATTTAATCGATTTGTGGTTAGAAACAATTTGGATTTCAAATTGACAATTGTAAAGGGTGATCTATCTGTTGGTTAATTTTTGAACTAGAGTTTATTTCACGGTTGGCAACACTTACATCAGTTCTGTTTCGACAGGAATTTAGTAAAGAGCCTGCGCTGAACGAATATGGATCGATATACGCTTGAACTACATTGGGAAGCGCTTGGACGAGGAGCCTCATTCTTACTGAAAAATCATTTTTTCGGATGCGACCTATTTTCATCTTGGTGGCTACGTCAATAAGCAAAACTGCCACATTGGGTACTCAGAATATAAAAATGAAATTACGTCACTGACTCTTTCCGGAAACGGATTACAAGTCTTGGATGGGGTGTGGTTCCAGCAAGACGGCGCGACCTGCCACACAAGCCGCGAAACAATCGCTCTTCTTCAAGAACCGTTCGAAAATCGGTACTTAGCGGTTTTGGTGGTGACTTGGCCACCGCGAAGCTGCGATTTAACTCTGTTGGATTATTTTTTATTTGGAAGCATAACAGATAACCGCTATGTGGATGCCCCAGAGACTATTGAGCACTTGAAGACCAACATTCCTGTAGCCATTGGTGAGATAATGTCGCAGACGTTGTAAAATTGGGTCGACAGAATCGGCTACGTCAAGCTCAGCTGTGGCGCGCATATTAATGAGATTGTGTTTCACGATTAACCGGAAGGATCTCAAACAAAATAAACAGTTTTGAAAAAGAACTCTGCGTTTTCATTTTAACCAACGATGTAAAAATTAACCAACAGATTGATCACCCTTTTTTTGGATCTGACAATTGATGACAGCGAAATACTTGCACCATTGCCTGGTCTCAGTTAATACAGGTTTCACTATACAAGACACGCCTATATTCCAGTCCGATGATGTTTCGTTTGATGACCAACGCGTGCGCGGCGATCGACTCAGTTACCCCCACTATGCACTTCGCTCCCAGCGCATAGCCCGTCGAATTTACATCCAAACGGATCATCTGCCAACACATTTGGGATATATTTACTTCCTGGACAGTTTTGCAATTAATATGGCAATGGCTCAGCTCACACAAAACTTCATGATTCTTCGAGACAATTATCGAGAAAAAAATAAGCGGATTTCAGTTTAAAAATTTACAGTGATCGTTCGGCAGAAAAAAGGAACTCGTTACACAGAAACAATTTAATTTTGGAGAGTGTGGGAAAAAATCGCAGGGCGCAATCACCTTATCATTATCATTAGTTAAAATGAAGTGCAATTTTATCTTCCCATCAGAATACAAGAAATCATATAACATCAACAACAAAATGAAAATTGATAAGAATTTGCATACTGCAGATACTCTGAGATTAGACCACACAGCTGGTACATCTTCTACCTGTCAGTGCATACGAAAATAAATCGACTTGTCCTAAAACTGCTAAGGTTGAGTTTACGGCTACACACAATATTCACTCTCTTCATACAAAATAACTTGAAGTTTTGTTCAATGTGGAAAATAGTTTAACAGTCTATATATTTCAAAAAATCATTAAGAAAGTTTTTTGACAAGGTGTTGTTAGACGTAACTGCCTAAACGCTTTAAGATGCATTGAAATGTCATCTTCACAATAATTTTGGATATCCATGACCGATGCATTATATTGTGAGGTAAATTAACTCTTGTTCGACAGTGGAAGTTGAATTCCTTGGGTAACAACATTGGTTTCCGTTAGAATTAAAAAAGAAACGAGTTATAACCGAGGTATGAGTTATATTATACTTATTTAGGTTTGTTATTGGTTAGGTATTATTCTAATTGAATTTATAATGGATTTCATATGACGTAACCATATTGGGTGAAGTAATCCAATACAGAAAACAGTCCTACCTAAATATGTCCAAAAATGCTCTAGGCGACGTAGAGGGTTATATTTACATTTACAAAATATGCGGTAAAGCAAAAAACGTATACTTAGCTTCTAAATATTGGCCTTTCTTCACTCCGTAGACCCCAGTTTCTACCCCTCGTTATTTGACCGGAACCCTGTGATTCATTGCATTTCATGTGTCACGAACTTTAATCTTAACGTCTCTTTGAAATATATTTTTTAAATTTCGTAAATAAAACTTCATTACTCTCTACCTTGGTAGGGGAACATCTTTGGGTCCATATTCATAGGAAATTTTTTTGTTATTTTTGGAGTACTTTCTACCCTAGGAATATTAACCCGTTTTTCTGAAACACCCTGTATATATTTTTTGTAATGGATTTGATCCCGTATAAATAAATCAATGAATAAATTTCATTTAATCCTTACGTGGTCTACAAGTCAATATTTGACTGCTTCAATATATTGATCAACTCAATAATTATGGACCACATACAGGTTAACTACAACCAGGAAACAATCATTTGCTTGAAATGTCAAAGCAAACATTCAAGAATAAATAAATGTACGTGTAAGTATAACTGAAGTCAATTGTTACGTCTCACCATAAAATATCTAAAAATACTCTGTCTTTGGTCTAGAATTTTTATCAACATAGATAAATATATCATCGAGTTCATTTTAGCATTGGCTACCGAAGTGATCACTTACTGTGTGGCGGATCCAGGGCGGTGCCCAGTGTGTCCGAACACCCCCCGAAATATCAGAGTTTATATAAATTTGAATGTTTCTCAATTTGCGACGACCCCCCTCGAGACGAACATGAATCCTGACTCCCTTCCCCCGGCACTTCTTTTATAAGGACCCCCTCTGAACATATTTTCTAGATCCGCCCCTGCTCTGTAAAGACACTTAAGTCACCGTGAAAGCGGCGCTTTTGATCGATCAGTTTTCGTTTCCCAAAATATGTTTTGGGTGAGATGCGTAAATAATTATGTTTTTTGGTAGGAAAAGCCATTGTAATGATTTGTCTAAAAATCACATTTAATTGTTTACTACCTTGAATGACTACAGTATATACAGTTATAAATATTTAAATTCACAACAAGTTTTTTTCTCCAAGTTTGGAACGATATTCAAAAATATACATATAATATCAAACAGCTGCAAAATATTATTATAATGGTGAAACCTTCACCATGTCCGGGGAAATAACTTGTCGGTATTTGTATTTGTATTCAGTATACAAATAAGAATCATAGGCTATTTGTTCACTTTAAGTAATCAGATAATTTAAGCTGACAAATAGTTTTGTGATGGTCCAATTTTGTAATGATCATCGCAAGTTAGGTTCAACTACTGGGGTACTGTTACAATAAATAAATCACACAATTATATGAATAAGCAAAAAATACATCTATATTGGTTGAAATTATTAGGTTCTTCGGAAAGTTCTTGCGGCTTTTGTTATTTATATTTTAAATATTGTATTTTACACTAAAATTCATTTAAAATACTTTGACTTTATATACCATTTTAAAGCACTTTTTTCGCTCTATCTAGTCGTAGTATTCGTTTTGTTTTACGATAATTTGTTTTTTCAATACTTCAAATATAGGATGGACAAGATGCAAATTCGCACGATTTTCTTATTCCTGTTCAAATTAGGTATAAAAATTGACGAGACAGGTCGCGATATCAACAATGCATTGGGCCAAGGAACCAGTAACGAACGTACGGCACAATGGTGGTTCAACAAATTCCGCAGCGGTGACGTGAGCCTTGAAGATGCGCAGTGGTCGGCCACATGATGTTGACAACGACGAATTAAAGGCCCTGGTGGAAGCAAACCCGCGCACAACTGTTCGTGAGCGAAGCCGAAACTCCATCCAAAGAAGGTTATGGTGACTGTTTGGTGGTCTGCAGCCAGTCTCATTCACCACAGCTTTCTAAATCCGGGAGAAACAATTACGGTGGAGGAGTACAGCCAGCAAATCGACGAAATGCATCAGAAGCTCCGACTTATGTGCCCTAGATTGGTCAATATGAAGGGACCAATTCTCCTACACGACAACGCTTGGACACACGTCGCACAACCGACCCTGAAAAGTTGAATGAATTGGGCTATGAAACTCTGCCTCATCCACCATATTCGCCGGACCTCTCGCCCACCGACTACCACTTTTTCAAACACCTCGACAACTTCCTTCGCGAGAAATGCTTCAATAACAATGACGATGCCAAAAATGCCTTCCATGTTCATCGCCTCCAGAACTCCGGATTTCTACGTTAGCGGCATAAATAAACTTGTTCCTCATTGGCAAAAGTGTATCGATTCTAATGGTTTTAATTTTGATAAATAAGTTTTGTTAAAGCTGAGATTTATGCTCCTCTGAATTTGAAGGTTAAAAACCGCAAGAAATTTGCGAACAACCTAATATAATATTAATATTAGAAACAACAGCAGAAAACAAGGATAGAACATCAGAAATCATATACTAAAATTACAAATTTTTGTTTTGGAAAAACATGATGAATATTTAAAGTGTCTCACAACGAATTGTAAGCTAATTGAATTTGGGATTTTGTTATGTTTCTGAAATTTATCCTATCCCAGTAATGTCCGAATAAGGATAGGAGAATTTATAATTTTTGTTAGAAGTCAGATATATAAATTGCTTGGCATTTTATTATTCCTTAGCAACAACACTTAAAGTAGGGAATATGTCTTTTGAACAGTTACACTTGAAAACCGGTCCAACAATCAAACTACCACTCAGTCAGGCAAAAACCCGAACACACGTCAATCGTACCTCAATTCTCTCACCTGTTCACTCAGACTTGTCGCCATCTTCAAACTTGATTCTGCTAGGTTTCGTCTTCACCGGACTTGCGTCTCTCGTCAGAGACTCAGGATAGTACCTGTGGTACATGACACAGCCTAAAATAAGACAGAGTGAAAACACAGATGTTTGATTGTGGATGTAATTTGAAAATGCATCAACACTATGTTAGCACTAATAGTCTAATCATATTAGAAGAAAATACCGCTGGTTTGCGAAGTAATTGTGAAGTCTGGTTTTATTGCTACAAGTTGTTCAAGGGAGTATTCAAAACATGTACGAATAAAATGGGTACACCAATTTTTGTGGGAAAACTTTTTATTCGACAACATAGAATGAGACAACCTGTTTTTTGGGATTCAATCGAAAGTGTTGGCAGTAACGAAAAAACTCCATATAAGATTTTTAGATATTTATGATACCTACCAAAATGAGTCCACACGTAAAAAGATATTTTAAATTCTTCACATTCGTAGGATTCGTACTTCCAAAAACCTCAACAAAATTGGAGTAGATTGGTCAAGTAGTTTTTGAGAATTCCTAATTGTTTCTCCCAAAACACCTGTTTTCCGGCCATACTACTAGTTTATTGAGCAATATACAGGGTTAGTTCAAACGGCATTTTATAGAAAAATACACTAGTTTACCTTGCCGATACGAATCGCAAACCCTCCGGAAGATATTTTTATTTTTATGCAAAAAAGGATGGGTTACGTTTTTTCTTCTAAACAAATTCAAATATTTCGTATTTGTGAGTAATTCGCAACAAAAGATGATAGACACATCCGCTTTGTTTTAAAATGTGTATAGTAACGTATGTTTTTCGAATATTGTAGCGCATTTGTTCAATTACTCACAAATACGAAATATTTGAATTTGTTTAGAAGAAAAAACGTAAGCTTCCGTTTTCCGCATAAAAATAACATTTATCTTTCGGAATGGTTTGTTATTCATATAGGCAAGGTAAACTAGTGTATTTTAACGAACCCTGTATATTGCTCAATAAACTAGTAGTGATGGCCGGAAAACAGGTGTTTTGGGAAAGCGAATTAGAAATTCTCAAAAAACTACTTGACCAATATAATCCAATTTTTTTGTTGTTATTTAGAAGTATGAATCCTACGGATTTGAAGAATTTCAAGTAGTTGCGTGAAATTATCGTCGCATTACCAACAAGTGCCAAAACCTGCATTTTGCCTCGTTTTCGACCATAACATGATTGCTATTAGGTGGATCTTTTCACGTGTGGTCTCATGTTGAACACTTCCGATTGAATCCCGAAAAACACGTTTTCTCATTCTTTGTTGTCCAATAAAAAGTCTTCCCACAAAAATTGGTGCACCTACTTCATGCGTCCATGTTTTAAATACCCTCCTGAACAACTTGCACCAATAAAACAAGGCTACTACAATTATTTCGGGGAAATTTGCTAATATGATTAGACTATAATAGTACACTACCCATGCATTACACGGGCTGTAATGGCGACACTGACCAACTGCCCCTACTTAACAGCAAAACTCGATATGTGACTCGACCTTTGTCCCCGTTCAATCAGACCACACATTCTTGGAAGGCAGCACCAATCTTGTGCTGTCATTTCCATTGGTTTATCCTCGTTATAATAATAATAATAATGTTTATTGGTCCAATTACAAAGTTTTCGTATAAATAATAACGGCAATGTCCAACAAACATAATATACAGGGTGTCCGCAAAGTTGGGGTTTTCCTTTACACGACGTGTAGATCTTGAAAACGTAAGCAATTTTTCTTAGTACCATATACACCAATGTCTTAAGGGAACCGAGATAAAGGGCTCTGCAACATCAAAAATATCTGAATACCGTCCTGTAGCCGCGACCCGCGATATCTCAGACTGGTACCGGCTACTAGCTGAACCCGACGACAGAACTGGGTCGGGGGTCGGGGTCAGTGTGTCAGGTCAGTCTGCAACCTTCAACCGACGGTAAAGGGTCACGCGTATAGAGGTAACGAACCCGTATAATCGATTGCGTTTCAAAAAAAATAATAATGGCACACTCATACACCAATAATGAACTCGTTGATATGTTGTTAATTTATGGCGAATGTCTTCAAAATGATACAGAATCGTCGCGAGTGTATGCAGATCGTTTCCCTAGAGGACATCATCCAAGGCCCCGCAGATTTGTGTATCAGAGAGTCAGGGATACGGGCCATTTGGAGGAATTTTGAGGTGGGCACAGTGGGAGGCCTAGACAACCACGAATGGTGCAAGTTGAGGAAGAACTACTGAATCGCGTAGACGAGAATCCCTCAACAAGCACTAGAGACGTGGCTAGAGAAGTGCAAGTATCAAAAACTAAAGTGTGGCAAACGTTCAACGTGTACAAGCCCTTCAACCTGACGATTTTCCAGCAAGAGTGCGGTTTTGTGAGTGGTTGTTGCATCAACATGACAATAATCCGGACTTTTTGAAGTGCATATTGGTGACAGACGAATCTACGTTCACGCGTAATGGGGTGAATAACTTTCGATTTCAGGCCTTCTCGTCAACTGGAGAGTGAGTACTTTTTCCTTTATTTTTTTTTACTTGGTCGCCCTCGTTTCACTACACATTACCTTTGTTATTTCAAGGGTAGTTGTTTCTGAAAAGGAAAACCCCAACTTTGCGGACACCCTGTATAGCCAAAAAAGTGTACACTTGTGCTTGGGTTCTAACCGAAGTTGAATTATATTAATATAACAAATTTTCTTTAAGTATACTAGTTAAATGTATAAATTTGCATCATTTTATGATCAAATAACATATAGGTTTTTAGTGTCAACAAACTTATGGATTTGTAGCCTTGGTTGATTTAGGATTCATGATTCAATTTTTAAACGTTTTTTACATTTAATATGTTTAAAGTTTGCAGGAATAACATTATCAAATGTTGAGCATAGAAAATAGAATGATCTTTGGCTGATAGTTTTATTAAGTCTAGGAATTAGTGCAGAGGTTTCCTTGAATCGCGTTTGATAGTTGTGGCTGATAGTAACAATTTTGGATTTTTTGTTAAATATATTATTGTATGATAAAAATAAATTTGCCAGCAGTCGGAAAGCTGAGATTCATTTTAAAGATTTTCTGAGGAATAACATTTATTTTTGTTCAATATAACTTTCAAATCCACTTCTGCATAATTTCAGTACTTTTATAATAATTATTCATGACTCCTCCCCATGCTAAGATTCCGTAAGATAGTAATGATTGAACAAGGGTATGATATATCATGTCTAGATATTTTTCGCTTAAAAAACAGCTGAAATATTTGACTTTCGGAATAAGGTATCTTAATTTTCTTACTAAATTTTCAATATGTTTATTCCATCTTAGACGGTTATCTATGAATACCCCTAGGTATTTGAAATTATCAACCGATTGTATGTTTCTAAAGCTATTCAATGTTTCAATTTGGAGTTGATTAAAATTTGGGGAAGATCTGTTGTTGCAAGAAAATGTAATAAAGTATGTTTTGTTGAAATTGACTGTTAAAATCCTTTCCGTGAAAAAATGTGCAATCTTTTGAAAATCCAATACAATTTTGTTTTTTAAAGAATTCCAATCTTTGTCTGAGTAAATAATTGCCGTATCTTCTGCAAAACCAATAATTTCTCCATCGTTTTTTGATGATGTAGTTTTGTAATATTGGTGATAAATTCCTGTATAATCTTCCATGAAAGGTACCATTGATTAACATATCTCACCAGAAGCTAAATTTTTTTATACCGAAGCAGCCTAATAGGCAGAAGCCTAAATACCGGCAGCTATAAGGGACCTGCAGATACATTGTTAATCAGACTTTTGAACTGCCAAGCTCAGTAGAACTGGGAAATGCCTCCTCAAGCAGATTGTCTCACAACCTCGACACCCTATGAACAAAGGAGTGGTCGTACCGGCCAGTTCTGGATGTAAGAAATTCAATATGCTTAGGATGAAAGGCAGAAGTCAGCCGCTGCTATTCTTGGTCTATTCAGCTCAATGGCAGAGAATGGCTTGGTACTACGAAGTCCTGCATGCAGAATGCTGTCACAGGCGTTGATATTTTTGTATGACGAGGAAACTATATAATTACGACGGATATCTTGCGGTCAGAGAGAACGTCATCCATCTACCTGCAAATCTTCTGTGGGAGGCATTAGGGAGGAAATTTGCATAAGAGCGCAGCATGCCACAGCCGATCTAAAGCTTTCGTGATATCATCACATGATTGGAGCAGTTTACCCCGCAGTTGTTTGACGTAAGCTAAGAGGTCCCTTGTGATGGGAACCGGAAGTGTGGTCAGAAGGAGATGGAAATTGTATACGAACGTACAGATACACCAGGGGGTAATGGTATTACCGAGTTACTCACTTGACTCAAACTATTCCAAGTGGGAGATACAAACCTATGACACAGATGAGCGACAAGATAAATTGTACGGCAAGCCACACGATGATATTTGCCACTTGCGTCCTCTCGAACAGTTCCTGGCCATGTTTGATACAGATCAACGATTCTGACACCATGATGCAGCCATATACCCAACACTGGGTACCGACCCTGTTGCAAGTAGTGTCTGTTACATAGCTGTAGTACTGCCTCACCGACGGTGCTACAAATAATCCTACAAACAATGTGTAACTATTTACCATCTTGGAATTTGTACTATTTACGAGGTCTGTAAATTCAGTGATGAGATTGGCAATGTTGCGTTCTACAAGTTTGAACTCGTCGATTGAAGATGAACCACGAAGCGGAAGACCTTCATATTCAAGAACCGATAAAAATATCGACAGATTCCGGAATCTTCTGTGTTCAGATCGTCGGTCAGAATGATCCGTTCGTCAGATCAAGAACAACTGGGTGTTGCATCACGTTTAATATTCCTTGTCACACAGCAATGTCAATAAACGAGTTTTTGACCAGTAAAAACATGCCTGTGGCCACTCAGCATCTTTATTCACCTGACTTGAGTCCTTGTGACTTTTTTGTTAATCTCGACGTTGGAAAATCATCTCAGCCGAGCTCATTTTGGAACAGCAGACGGGTGTAACCGACCAGCGGAAGGCTATTCCAGTATCGGAGTTCCAGCACTGCTATGAGGAGGGGAAGAACCGTCTCCAGCGCTGTGTGGCTTCAGAAGGAAGCTATTTTGAGGGTGAGAATATGAAACTGTAATTTATTATATTTGAATGAAAAATTTACAAATAATCAGTCTCATCACTTAATTTACAGACCTTGTATAAGCAATGGAAATTGCAAGCACTATGTATATGTTTTTTTGTTATAAAGAATAATGGTCTATATTCGAGTATTCGTAATTGTACAGATAAACTGCACATTTGAAATATTCTTGATTCAGTTTGAAGCGTAAATAATGACATTAATTGATTAATGCACCTGTTCAAGTTCAACCAATATGACTTCTTTTTGGAAATCACCGTTTGATTACAGGTAATGTTAAAACTTTGATAAATGCATATAGTAATAATTAATTATTAAGTATACAACAGTGAGTCCGCAAAGTCCGATGTAACTATCATTATTAATATAGCAAAACTTAGAATTATTTAAAACATTGTGTAGTGGATTAAAATACTGAAATACGAGGCAGATGTTCATTGATTTTCAAAGAAATAAATAATAAGTAATCCTCAAGTTACGTCTTTCAACCTCTGTGTGACAAACTTGCAGACCACTTTCCACCTAAAGGATACAGACAAGGAATTTGATTGGCGCTTACGTCACGAGTACTAAGGTGATTTGACGGCATCAAAAAATTATTTATTAGACGACGTAAACTTTAGGACATATATAAATTTACCTATGAGAACGAGACGGGCAGTAACCAGCGGATGCGATGCTGGCAGTTCGAAGACATGTTTGAGGAAGAATGTATTAAGCTCTGACATCTGCCAAAATAGGACCAATTGGCAAAGAGCAAAGATACGCATATAAGAACACTTTGGATCCAACCATCGTACAGACGTCCAACTTTCGGGTGTGAACTGCAACACTGCCCTCTTTATTTTGCCGCTTGTAGTGTGGATGTCCTTGATGCTTACCCATCTAAAAAAAAATGTAATTCTCAAATCAAGTAAAAACAGTAACAATATATTTAACATGAATACTATACCCGTGTACTCATAGGTTGAATCCTGATAGTGATATAAACAATTAATATGATTTAAAAGGTGAGTTTATATTGTCAAATAACAAAATTAATCATTTTTTTTATTCGTTTCTTGCAAATTGATTTATGACTTCAGTATTGACATGTATATTTATATATATATATATATATATATATATATGTATATGTGGACATGTAAAAGTGCCAGTCCAGTTAGGTGATCTTCTGTCAGTCAGGCTCACAACTACTTGATATGATCGAAATCAAACATGCATATATTTCTTGAAACACTCGCAGGTAGCAATATATTGATGTAGGGACAGTCAACACTATCGAGGCAAGATCCAAGAGTCACCCATTGAATTCTTGCCCTGTGCTTGGGAAACACCATGTACATGACTGTTAAGATGAAGAGCGCGAGATTTGACCATTCTTATGGTCAGATAACTATGATGCCTACTACTTATCATCTCTATTCAATCAAATGAAATCAATTTTCTCTGTTAAAAAGTGTTTTTATCAAATTTGCTCGAAGCATTAAAGGCGCACTTGAAAACGTTTTTTTCTTATATTCCTGTCCGAATGTTTGAATTTTCGATTAACTACTTTAATCACAGAACACATGAGGCTCACTTTCCAATAATGTACTGACGGACATGCAGTGGTACCAAGCCGAAACACAAAGAACCTCAACCAGACTTACGCAACCTTATTTCCCATCATCAATACTCTTACAAATTGATCAGGTTTCTATCCATTACATATTTGCTAAAAGTCTTTATTTTCTTAAATTCATCAGAGAGATTCAAGTCATGTATTTATTAATGGTTAAACTAGATTCGCCCAGGCGGAGGGGAAAATCCGCGCTTGTTGTTTAGTTTTATTTATTTTATATATATAAGTGGAAGATGTACTGAAAGAGAAAGCTGTAATGCCGAAGAAAAAACATCAAAACAGAACTCTGAGGAAAAAAGCTTTCTACCTTTACCAATCTACAATCAAACTGGTTAGATTTATTCAAGCCTAAACGAAAATAAGAATTAATGTCTCCCAAAGTTGAACAAAACGAAAATATAACCTAGACGCTATTAACTGAAGTATAGTTACGGCACATTATATAGATGGGTGAATACTTAAGTATGTCAGCCGCTAATCTAGGAACAAAGAAGTTAAGTTGTTCTAAGATGACACTCAAGTCTATAACGCCATGGATAAGCTTGTGAAGAAACTGAATTGGATTCTTTTTGTGTCACCCTCTAAATTATATATGCATATGTTATGTCTCACGATAAACTCACTATGAAGAAAGCCAATGGCAGAGTATATACCATCCACTTTGTATGAAAGATATTTTAAAAACTTTCTAACAGCAGTCAATACATATTTGACGATGCTTAGATCTCACATAAGTACAGTACAGTACTTTTAGTGTAAAAGAGTTATGGAAATAACCAGTATTTCTTACAATAAAGCCATATGCCTTTGATGCAGACACAACATTTTCAATGTGATACCTCTGTTTTTTAAGTAAACGACAAAACATGATGTTAGCAGCATTCAAAATCAATGTGCTTTTCACGACACTTACCTGTATTCTCTCATCTCGAGTATTTTACATATTTTCAGTCCACACCATATTCCAAGTCCATTGCATATCAGCACATCTAGGATTAGAGCATCCCACCAGCATTCAATAAAGTTGGGAAGCAAATGAGCAAATGCCAGTTCTGTGAATTCCCACATCATGCTTATTGCCCATAAGATACCCATATGTCTGTAAAAAATAAAATTAGTCACAACTTGTAAATACATGGTTTGGTAATATTTGAGACAGATCAAACTTTTTATGTTTCGATTAATGATCACTTGCATATGTGTTTAGTTTAGAATTGCAGCATCAAGTAGGCATGCCAGTTTTGATTTTTTTAAGCTATCAGCAACTTCTGCTACAAAACTATTGTTGCACCTCATTAACAAATCACGAACTCATACATTGTGGTCAATTGATACCACAGTGAGCTTGTTAAAAAATTAGGTGTTCTCCAAAAATTTCGTCCAGTTTTTTAACTTTTTTCTGTGAATCAGAATTTTTCCTCACCATTGTTAAACATTCTTAATCGCACTATAGCAATCAATAAATTTTCTGATATTTCGAAATTTTCTAGAGGGACACCTATTTTCAAGTTAGGGGATAATACTGATATTAAGAACTACACAGCAGTTGCAATATTTTCAAATTTCTAAAAATTTGCATAATAGAATTTACTCTGCAGTTCACAGATATTTCTCTCCTTTCAGCATGAGTTTCTTACTAAGAGATCATCAGTAATTAATTTAACTAGTCAATTCGCAATTGAATGTGTCAATCGGCAAGGTAAACTAGATGTAGTGTATACTGATTTTGCTAAAGCGTTCGCTAGGGTGGACCATGGTATGCTTTTGAATAAGCTTTTTTATTATTATCTTCATAGAAGGAAGCATTATGTTATTTTCAATGACTCAAGTCGTTCCAGTATGTAACTATAAATCGAAGGCGCCTCAGGGTTCAAACCTTGGTCTAAACTCCTATTTGTGGATAATTTAAAATTATTCAGGATTATTGATTCTTAGGCTGATTGTATTGCACTTAAGCAGGATATTTCTTAATACGTCTAAATGTAGTGTAGACAGCTTTTGCAGGAAAATGTCTGTTTGTATATTTAATTATAAGTTTGGGGATGTTTTCATTAATCATTGTTACTCAATTAAGGATTTGGGTACAGGTTTTGACTCTCAATTTTTCACTCCAGTCAGCTTAATAGGTGAGTGAAGCATACAGTTTTATTGTGAGAAACTGCAGAAGCTTTAGCTGCCCAGTGTCACTGTTGGTTTTGTATTCTGTATTATTAGATGTAAATTGGAATATCCATCGTAAATTTTTAACCCAATTTACAACTGCTACAATGATTCTCTTGAGTATGATCAAAGAAAGTTTTTTAAATTTTTATCCTTCAAGGTTAACAGTGCATATCCTGAGCAGGGTATATTGGAGAGTTTGTTAAGGTTTATGTTTTAAATGCAGCCTTGAAAGCTGAGAAGCAAGTGTGTGTCAATTATTTTCTTGCACATACTACTGCACAATCTAATTGATGCTAATGAGATTGTGGCTGAATTAAACCTATTCAAACTCGTACTGTTAAAACCTTTTATTGTGACAGGGCTCACACAAATTTATTTTTGAAAGTAGGTACCCATATATGTAATTTGTGAAACCTTCAATGCCATGTCTAATTATTGTGATGTACATGCTGACAGTTTGTGCAGCATTTTGGGAGTTGCTAGGAATTACTTAAACAATTTATATATTCCTCCCTTGAGTGAAATTTGTTTTCTGCTTCTTTTACATTTTTGTTTTTTTCTTTAGGTACAATCAACTGCTTTTTGTATGTTTTCTATTTTTGTTAGTTATATTTATCTTTTCCTACAACTGTCCTGTAGAAGGTTTCCTTAACTTAAATATAAATTAAATCCCACAGAGGATATAAATGGATTCTCTTTCAATGCAAGAATTTTAAATACATTCTTCTCCAATGCACGAGCTAAAGAACCAAAATACACTGCACCATCTTTGTAACAATCTACTTCAGCTATTAAAAATATAGTTTTGTCTAGGTGAAGAATCCACGATTGAGATATTGCGGTTTTTATCTCTGAACATCCAACTCATATTTGGAATATAAAAGGGTTGATACTCGAATTATTATTTACCTCATCAGCACAGCCTTGAACATCCATCCCAGAAAATGACCAACAGCAAACACATCCATATGGCTCCATATCCTCTCAACAGTAATATCCGAACAATTCACACCATACTCTTTGTCCATGTCAATGTGAAAATCTCTGAGCTTTGGATAAAACCAATATAGAAAATTTTTAACCGTCTCATAGTTCTGGAACAGTATAAACAAACATCCCAGGAGGTACAAAACGCTCATACCAAAGACCATCCGCCAGATGGCAGGATGGGGCCTCGTGAATGGGCCATTGGGGAATGCTAGGATTGAGATGACCAAGAAGAAGAAACAGCAACACAGGATACCAGCCCAAATGTTGTTCTCCACATTGCTTGTGTCTCTGAAAAGGAGAAAATCAAGAGTTTTTCCTCTATCTTCATGGTGATTTTAGGTTGATGAAATGTGACAATTTATGTGATTTCTTTATAAATTACTGCAAGGTGTCTCCAAAAACAATAAAATATTTTTTTAATAGTTGCCCTCATAATTATTCAGCTCTGGACACCCGTAGCATCCAACTGACTCAATTTGTTTTATGGAAAACTGCAACATAGGACAACATTTCGATTTTCATTTTACTTTGTTTCAGAGAAATTCAACTTCATAATTTGGGGCACAAAATTTGGCCAAAATGGCTGGCTTGGGTCCTCTGTTGATTGTAGGGTCAAACTGACTCTGACTTTGGCAGGGTTATTACATAAAAAATCTAAAATAAAAACCTACATAATGTCAAAAAAAATCTACATAATGTCACTTTTCAAGTTTTGTAAAACCCCTGCCAAATATAGGGCCTGATCTACTCTAGAAAGGAGCCTGCCCAGATCATAGATACTCGGTGATATATAAAAAAATTTCATATAAGGTGTCAAAACATTGCAAGACTTCTATTATTATAAAAATGAAACTAGCTAACTAGAGGGCTCAATTTGTAGATATAAGAACATGAAAATCCTGAAGCATTGTAGAACCAAATTCAAGGTAGAAATTGGGTCATGCAAGACTACTACTACCACTACTAAATCAACATTTTGATGGAAAAGAAATTGTCATATAAAATATCCTTGTAATATACATTCCGTTCATCTGACCACAGATGGCCAACCATAGTCAGCTCTTTCATGCTATTTGGCAACTCCTCAGTATAGTGTAGGCTTGGTTGTGGTCGACAAACCAAGCTAAATAATTACTCTATCAAGAGTATAAGGTTTATTGGAACAACACAAAGTTCCATCTATTGCCAGTGGTCAATTCTGCTGATAGATGGCACATTAAGCTGTCTTATTTCAATTAAAAAATGATAACAAAAATTGTTTTTATGGTAATATTTTGAATAATATGTAGGTAAATGCTCACTTTTACTATCAGAAAATAAACCCAAAAGTTACAGTGTTGGCTACTGGATTTAGATTTAAATAAGTAGATGATAAACAAGCAAATCTATTTTATAGCATATTCTGAAATCTGTTTATAGTTTATATCAAAATGAAATGTGACATGCAACTCATTTTTGCAATAAAAGTAGAAGATCAACCAATATAAATAAAGAGGTAGGATTTCACTAAAAAAATGTGTTATCATGTGAGTATAATAAAGGGTATTAATTATTATGCAATCATTTACATTTTCCATGCTTTATATCAACTTATGTTAGAGTCACAAGTAATTTACTTATACTCTTAAAAAATAGTGTAAAACCTTCATGGGATGCTGAGTAGTGGGTCCGTATATTTGATATTATTTGAACAACTTGTTTGGCAAGTGGAGCAAACCACCAAATATGTATAACTTTAATTAGTACCATATTTTCTATCTATATTTCTCATGTTTATTGGATTAATGAATGACCTACATCTTAGGCGATAACACAAAACTTACCTAACAAAAGCAAAATAAACTACAGCCCCAAGTGAAGCTAGAAGAAGCGTGATGGTATGAGGGTTGTAGAAAAATTTGACTGAAATATCATCAACTGGTTTTTCATTTATCGTACTGAAACTATCCAGCCGGTGTCTCATTGATATATTCCTTGGATGCTCTAAAGTTTTGCTCATATTTGTAAATTTTATTCCTAATGTGGGGTGCAACTTCTCTCCAGTAAAAGTTAAACGGAATTTCTAATACATATTCCAATGCATCATACCGCTAAGCAACGAATTAACCTTTTATCATTGATCAATGATAATCACTGATAAAAGAAATTTGAACTTTTCGAAACTCATTACGGTTTCTGGTTTCTTGAATTCAAGAAATTGGTATCAAAATTCACAAATGACAAACATGTCAAAAAGGACAGGTCATCATAAAAAAACCATGAAACCTGTAAAAGCGGTTTGCAGAGCCCTCTACCGGGATGTAGTCGAATCAATATCGCTCGGATAAATTACCGGTACTGAACTTGCCGACTGAACATGTTTCACTTGTTATCAAGTTAGTCAGATAACTATGGATGAGATGGTGCACGCGTCGCGATTTCCGATACCAAACAAATTTAAAATTCCTCCTTAAATTTGTATTTGTTTATTTATTTGTTTGAGTTCCTGATTCTGATAAGTGACGTGAGCTGATCCTGAAATTTTCCATTTAGGTAAGCCTTCTAAAAATTCTTATATTGAATACCTAGGGCTACTTGCACACACACCGATTTTGGACGGTCGGTAAAATATCGGGCGACCACATTTTAATAGTAAACCATTGGATGCTGATTGGATGGCATTGAAGCTTGCACACTGGCCGACCACCGAGCGGCACCGGAAAAAGTCTGTTAGCAGCGGGAAGCGGGACATTGTCACTCTGATGCGCCGGTACCGGGAACATACAGGGTGGCCCATCCATGTGTGGACGGAATATTACTCATAAACAAATACATTTTGGAAAAATCTATTAATGGCATGTTATACATGACATTTGAGGGCACATTTCTAAAATATTGGCAATTATACATTTGACCTACATATCAAAGTTGTGATTTTTTAAATGGAATGCCTCAAATTTTATTGCATATTTGGATACACCAATTCAAAAGCAGAAAATTGATATAGCATACTATGGGGTTTTGATAATTAGCTACTGAGATGCAAGGTGTTTTGTCCAGAAAAACCGTTCACTTCGGCAACCCCTCAATCCGCCATTTTGAAATTTGGAGTGCTGAATTTTATATCGAAAAAAACTTACACACCGCAGCTTTTATCTTATTTGTTACTTTTTCGAATGTTCATTTTTGCTCATGCAGGGTGGTCAGAAACGGGAATTGTACACTTTCTCAAAAATTTCAACGAAAATCAAATCACCCTGTATATTTGTGCAAGTTTGGATTCAATTTTTTATACGCTTTTTTGGTATAAGGTTTGATTCAGATAAAATCACTAGATTTTGAGTTATTAAGCTTTTTATAGAACAACACACCAAAATTAAGGAAAAAAATCACATCATCCATGGAAACAAAAAAGAAACAGTGGGCTAGTTCCATATTGACACTAAGAGTACAGATTTGACGTAAAAACTAATAGTCAGAACAGTATAAATCAGCTTCAAACGTAATAGAGAAAAACAACTATAACAACAACATAAACAAACAACTATCACTTCTCAAGACCTAATCTACAAAAACTGCTCGAAAATATCTCCACCATGTTGAAAACCCAGCCGTAATATTTAGGTAAATAAATGACCGTAGCACATTCCTCAACACGTGTTCCCTTATGTTCAGAAAAACATCCTTAATCCTTTCCTTAATATTTTCCGGGGTAGATGGTGATATCTATAAACCTCTTGCTTAACATAGCCCCATAGAAAGAAGTAAATCTGCGTCATATCTGGTGATCTGGAAGGCCAAGATATAGGCCAATCACGACTGATTCAACGATTGTTACTCCAGGTGTTCAAATAGTTACGCACACGATTATGATAATGTGTAGGTGCGCCGTCATGTTGGAAGTACATACGCATCAGAGTTTGTAGGTTGACATCCTCCAAAAGCAAAGGCAAATTATCGATCAACAAATTCAAGTATTCTGTACCTGTTAATCTGTTATCGAAAAAGAAAGGCCCGAAAACTTGTCTGCCAATAACTCTTCCCCAAACATTCAAGCTCCATTTATTTTTGAAATCTATTTGCCTAACAGAGTAAGGGTTTTCCGTCGCATAATAGTGCATGTTATGCCTGTTGACAACACCTATGCTGTTAAAAGTTGCCTCATCGCTAAAAAGAACCTTATCCAGGAAAGTAGTATCTTCACTCACTTAATTTAGCATTATTCTACTAAACTCCATTCGAGCTGCGAAATTCTGACGACGAAGACCTTGATGCAAGCATAGGTGATATGGATGGTACCTATGCTTGTGAATAATCCTTTGGAAGAGTGTTCTGCATATATCAGTTCCTGCTCCAATTTTCCGTGCACTTATACATTTTTTACTATATTCCACTGCTCCACTTGATTCAAAACGTTCTCGTAGTGTGGAAAATGTTTCCGGCCTTGGATGTCGCATATTGCTTATAAATGCGAGATGCTAGGAAACTATTTCTTTGTTCTTCGCCCAAAACGAACACCATATTCACCATTTCTTCTTTAGAAACTGTAACTGATCAACATTTTATTTGTTTCCAAGGATGATGCGATGTGATGAGCCAAGTTTGCTGCGAACTGAATGAGGATTTTAAAGAAATGGAGTCCAAAGAGAAAAATGAATCCAGAACTTTCGCTTAATTTCCCAACGCTTTATACGCTAGTATAGTAACCACATTGTAACAACTCGTTGGGGATTCATTAAAAATAATATTGGAAATCAGCACTGCACCGGTAAAAAAACCGGCGCGTGTGTAAGCAGAGCCTACCGATAAAAAGTCGGTCGATATTTTGCCGGCCGTCCAAAATCGGTGTATGTGCAATTAGGCATCTTCTCTATATTTGAACGTCTTGAAAGCAATTCTTTTCATGCCCTCTACGATGGTATATGACTTCTGTTTTCTAATATTATATAAGCTCCCACTATCCTAGCAGAATTGTCAGTGAGCCCCTCCTACAAAACTAAAGCAATGCCTTTTTGGTTGTGGTCAGAAATTTGTATAACTATTGACGAATAAGTTCTAGCTCTAAGCCTCTCAGGCGAGGAAACAACCACAAGACACAGAAGCATTGATTAACGTAATCAAACTGCTACAGAAAACATAATACAGGTTCTTCCGTGCAGGTTTTTGCTTCGGGACTAGCAGAGTTATTGCTTAAAAAACTCATATAAGGTAAAAAAAAATATAAACTTGTTGATAGTGTGCAAATATTTCAATCCGCGATTGCTACAAGTGAGCATGAAGTGAACGACTGCTAGTTCCTAATTGACACCTTGTAGGAACATCTACATAATGTCATAAAAGACCTCCATAATGTCAAAAACCCGACATCACTTTTCAAGTTACGTGATACCCCTGTCGAGGTCCAGAGGTCCTGCGTGCTGAGTATGATCAGCATTTGGCTCAAAAATATATCTCTAATCTTATTGCTGTCGCGGTCTTTTGGTATTTAAGGTTTTATGAAGGCATATTGTCACTTCATTTTGACTTGCCTTATTGCACTGAATCCGCGTATACCTCGAGAAAACTGTTGAAATATTTTATTACTCCCTACTGCAACTATTGTTGGGGTGCAGCTCCGTTGATATTCTTGGAGGATAACATTTTCCAGTGGCAAACATTTTTTCGGCCAATACAGCGAAGAATTTTGACAAAATATTTGACATCAATCATCTAGACTAGAAGAAAGTGATACGACCATATTGGGTACTCCATGAATAAGAAAAAAAAGAAAACTGCTGAGATTACTTCAGCTACGTCTGAGAGTGCTAAAATGGTGGTAACCAAACCAAGTGATGCACCAACGGAAACACCTAAAAACAGTAAGTGCACTAGAACAACAAATGAGGAGCTAAAACAGGAAATAAAAATATTATATGAAAAAGTTAATTCATACAGTCAGTTATTAATAGAAAAATATAGATTGATTGAGCAACTTATGAACAAGATTTCAAGATCAGCTGAATTTATTGTCGACAAATATTACTGAAAAATAAACTGTAGTTGATGCGCTCAAGAAACTGAATACTAGGATTGACATAATTGAAAAATCAAGTATCGTATTCGCAAATTGTAAAAAAGACCTATGCTACAAAAAGCAAGGAAATCCCATTGAAAAGCATAGTGATTATACAAAGCCAGCAACAAACAAGCCTCAAGTGGCGTAAAGATCTAGACAAAAACTTAAGCTTGTCTAAACTTCAAATCAAAATTGACGACGTGAAGAATTTTAGAAACGGTGGTGTGGAAATTAAGGTCCACGAAACTAATCATGCCCAGTTAAAGGAAGAAATTCAGAAAAAATTGCCAGCATCGTACGAGGTGTCTGAACCGAAGATGTTTAGACCTAAAATCAAAATTGTGGGCTACCATACAGATGAACGAATTACAGAAGAAGAGATAGTAGAAGACATCACAGGAGAGAACCATTTCATAGAAAAAGAAGATAAATCTTATTAAGTATATTGCACAAAAAATTTTTTATATTATTTACGCAGAGGTCATAGGTAATTTATTTAAACAGATTTTTGAAGATTATAATGGAAAAATTCTATCAGGATTTCAAAATGTATCTGTATACAAAAATAATGAAGTGTCTCAGTGCACAAATTGTTTCCGATTTAATCATTCTGGAAAAAAATGCCAAAATCCTAAAGTCTGTGCTCAGTCTGGAGAAAACCATGACACTTCCTTTTGTAAGCAGGCACATTCGAAATGTTACAACTGTTTGTATTCAAATCACCAGTATAAAAAATCTCACAGTACCGATCATCTTCCGACAGACAAAAATTGCCCAGTGTATGAATTCTCTCAACAAATACATCACTCACGAATTTTATTTTGATCATTTTAGAACTATTTAGAATACTCAAAATCTTTTCTAAATTATGTACGTATTCAAATACTCTTAATGGCTGGTAGTAAAATGCTTATCGGACACTTGAATGTACGTTCCCTCATGTCTAGTTTTGGTGCTATTGTAAATTTAATAGCATTAGAAAATTTTGATGTATTCGCTGTTACAGAGACGTGGCTAAATGAAAATATTACTGATGATGTGGTTAATATTAGCAACTATTGTTTCTTGCGTTGTGATAGAGAATCTCGTGGTGGTGGAGTTGGAATCTATGTTAAATCAAATTTACATGCTGAAGAGGTAGATATCCATACAAATTTTGGTGATTTTTTCGAAAGCATTTGGGTTAAATTGGTTGCGGGTAAGTGTGAACTGTTAGTAGGTGTTTTGTACCGACCACCCTCTAAAAACATACAACAATGTGCAGATTTATTAAATGGTTTTCTACCCAGCCTCTCGTTATATCATCATAACATCGTGATATTGGGAGATCTGAATATACATTTTTTTAATAACAATACATTCTCACTGAGTTTTGAGTTGATGGGGTTCACACAAATCGTAACGGAAGCCACCCGTGTCACAGATAGTACTGCAACATTAATCGATCCAATATTTTTAAATAACAAACTCGTATTTCTTCATATTGACATTCCACCTTTTAAAAGAAAACAAAAATTTATCACAATCAGGGATTTTAAACATTTCAGTGAGGATGATTTTCTTATCGATCTTTCTACATTGGGCATAGATGAATTATTTACGAAATCTAATATTGATGAGAAGGTAATGCACATTACAGGCGTTATCGTGGAAACCTATAATAAACATGCACCTTTTAAAACTGTAAGAGTTAATAAGCCACCATCACCTTGGTTAACTAATGAACTGCGCATTGTTCTTCATGAAAAGAATACTGCAGAAGCTTTATATAAAACTAATAAGACCGTGGACGCCTATAATAACTTCAAATCGCTTAGAAACCGTGCTCTTAACATGATCAGGAGGGACAAAAAGACATATATCGAAAATTTGGCAAATGAAAATGATTCAAAAAAATTGTGGAAGTCTCTCAAACAACTTGATATAAATTTTCGTAGTAAACCAGAACTTCCGGCAAGTTTTAACGACCCTACCAAAATTAATGATTATTTTATGTCTGTTTATAGCTACAAACCTGTTGATTCACTAGTTTGCGAAAACTATTTCAAAAATAAATTAAGCTATGAATATATTTTTTCATTGAATAAGATTAGTTCAAATGACGTATTACAGGCAATAGGGAGCCTAAAATCTGATGCGAAGGGAATTGACGGTATATCCCTGTCAATGATCCAGCTTTGCCTGCCAGTTATTCTCCATCACATCGTCCACATCTTTAACGACTGTTTGGAAAAAGGCCACTTTCCAAACACATGGAAACAAGCTCTAATTATTCCAATTCCTAAAAAAATGAAACCCACTGAGTATAATGATCTCAGATCTATCAGTTTATTACCAATTTTATCCAAAATTTTAGAAAAAATTATAAAGTTCCAATTGACCGCTTACCTAGAAAAATTCTTCATACTTCCCGACACTCAATCCGGATTTAGAAAAAGTTATAGCACAACATCTGCCCTACTTAATCTGCAAGACAATATTTTAAGTGCCTTAGATAAGAAAATGGCACTAGCCTTAATCTCTATAGACTATTCGAAAGCCTTCGACAGCATCAATCATAAATTATTACTTGCTAAATTAAATTACATAGGTCTTGACAGTGTATCCCTTTTATTTTTCGACAGTTACCTTCATCAAAGAACTCAGTGTGTTTTTCTCAATCAAGAAATGTCTCAAGTGACAATAATTCCCTCAGGCGTACCTCAGGGCACTGTATTGGGGCCGCTTCTGTTCCTCATATATACGTTCGACTTAAGAAAAAGTATTGATAATTCTCATGTCCAGTCATTTGCAGACGATACGCAATTGCTTCATTATTTTTACCCAGATAATGTCAATAATACTACTCAAATTTTACAAAACGATGTTAATATTAATCCACAAAAATCTAAAATGTTATTATTTTGCGCACAAAGAAAAACATACAATGTAACACAGCTCTTGAACATTCAGATAAATAACCAAATCTTGCAATTTTCTGATTCTGCAAAAATTCTTGGTGTTGTTTTTGATACAAAATTAAGGTTTATTGAACATGTTAAAAGTCTATCTCAGAAAACCTATCTACGGCTGCGCACTCTTATAGCAAACAGGTATTTACTAAATTTTAAGTTGCGTAAAAAACTATGTGAAGCATTGGTCATATCTATACTAAATTATTGTAATATCGTATACTATACTTGTTTAGACAATTTCACTAAAAACGCTATTCAAGTTATTCAAAACAATTGTATACGATTCATTTTTGGCTTACGTAAATTTTATCATGTATCAGCGAAATATCCCGATCTAAACTGGTTAAAAATTAATGACATGGTCAAGTATCGGTCAAGTAGATTCGATCCGAAATTTTTTGATAAAATTGTGATAGTCTGTGTGAATTTAATAGTGCGAGTGTTATAATCTAGTTATTTGAATGTGTTGATTTCCCATGTGAAGATTGTTCAGCTCGAATTTTCTGCATTTGATTTGAAACATAGCATATCGAGTAAGTCACTACATTCCTTTGACCCAGTGGTGTAACATAATCGGATCTTCTTCAAATTATCTTTACTTGACGCATATCAGTAAAAGGGTGAGAATCAAAGCAAACAAGCAATAATAGCTAGCACAATGTCTAAGGTTCTCACAAGATCCAATGTTCGCAACTTAAAGGCAAATAGATCAACGAAAACACCATCAACTTCTCAATTGACAAAAGGAGCATCATCTTCTGCTAATACGAGTTATATAAGTATAAAATGTGACTATCATTCTGATGATAATCAGGATATGTCTAATAATATTATTGATAACCTTAGAAATAAACTCGCACAGCATCAGGCTATAAACGAAGACATAATGGAGAAAAACGCAAGTATGTTGGAAGAAATTAAAGAACTGAAACTAAAGCTATCCAATAAAAATGAAATAATAAGTACTCTACAAAAAACTCTCGATAATTTATCAGTGAACAAACAACTGTTTCATACACAGACGCAAACCGATATAACTGAAGCTGGTATAAAATTCATGGAGGATAAAGTAGCAGATGTAAAGATGAGAAACGGAGAATTGAATCAAGAAATCAGCAGACAAATTGAACAAATTGAGCAACTGAATCAAATAATGGAACTTAATCAAGGAATAGATGGAAAAACATTAAATATTGAAAGTGCATTGGATGTTGATAACGTATCCATAAAACAAAAAGGACAAAGGAGCGGAGAAAAACATATTGCAGAAGAATACTCTACAGAAGTTTCAAATAATGATGACGGAATGCATGACAAGTTTGTTGGAACGGGAGGCAATTCTACTTGAAGCAGTTACAGAAAATATAAGCTTAGTTGATGCCAGTGAAGTTTTGCCCGTGCAAGCTAGTGAAATCCATAAAACAGATAAGAAACGCAAAGTACTAATTATCGGTGATGAGTTTGCGAAAAGCGGTTCCATAGTGTTGCATTCAATGTTATCTACTCGAGGCATAATTATAGAAGGTGCAGTAAAGCCTGGCTTAGAGTTTTCGGAGTTAGCTAAGTCACTGTTCCACTACTCGCAACAGTATGGTAAACATGACCTTATTATTGTTATGGTGAGCTCTATGAATATATCCAACTTTAAGCAATTAAATTTTGCTTTGAGGCATTTGCTTCCACTTAGTAAGCTAACTAATTTATTTATCATGACGCATCGCAGTCATGTTGAAGATTTTAGGGTAGAAAACTACTTAAGTAGGGCAGTAGCCAGATTCATAAATACGAATACCAATATATCACTCAAATTTAAGACTAACGTGTCTAACCCGATAGCGGTACTCAAAATGGTAGCAAACGAATTTATGAAGTACACTAATCACACAAATATAGTATTGAGAGTAATTGATACAACCCCTTCATCAAAGTGCAAGCTTTTTCTTTGATAGAGCGCCAAATAATCAATGTAGTGAACAATTCAATGAAAATGGTTGTATTTTTAATGGAAATAACTCAAATAGTTTAAAAATAATTCATCAAAATGTGCAATGCCTTAGTAACAAACTACTTGAGCTTGAAGTGTTTCTAAATGAAAATAAGTGTGATATATTTTGTGTTTCTGAGCACTGGGCAAATTCTGACCAAATTATGTCTTTATATATACACGAGTACATTTTAGCAACTTCATACTGTAGAAAGCTTTTTCATCATGGCGGGACATGTATATACCTCAAAGCAGGACTAGAATACAATAATCTAGACTATTTGAATGATATTTCAGTTGATAAGCATTTCGAATGTAGTGGAATTCAAGTTATAACCGAAAACCTCAATTCGGTTATTGTTTCTCTGTATAGAAGTCCTGATGCCGATTTTAATTTTTTTTAGAAAAACTTGAGGACCTTTTAAATATTTTAAACATTAAATGTAAAAAATGTGGTATTGTCCTTTGTGGTGATTTTAACATAAATTTTAACAAAAACTCTTTAGATTTAAATTGTCTGTTGGATGTTTTAAGCTCATATTCACTGAAGCTTGTTATCAAACAACCTACGCGAGGATCTAATTGCATAGACAATATTTGTGTAGGGGTGGATGTAAAGTGTGATACTGCAGTAGTAAACAATAATGTTAGCGATCATTTTGTTCAATTATTAACTCTATACTATCAAACAGATGAACAGCCACCTCAGATTTCCTACCAGTACCAAGACCTGTATAATAAATCCAACATCAACAATTTTTTAGCTCTCCTAGGTCAAGAAACCTGGGACCACATTTATCATTCCACTGGGGATATTAATGAGAAGTTTGATTTATTCCTACAAACGTTTCAGTATTACGTTGACATAGCATTCCCAGTTATAACCAAAACCGTAAAAGCAAGAGCCAGAAAACAATGGATTACAAAAGGTATCCTAATATCAAGAGATAAGCTTCACTATCTGCATAATTTGTCTAAGACGGGAGATGTATTTCTTATAGAGTTCTATAAAAAATATAAAAAGGTATATGCCAGAGTTTTAAGAGCAGCTAAGCGACTATATTACAACAAAATTATACTAAATGCAAAAAATAAAACAAAAAGTGCTTGGAATGTAATAAACGAAAACAGAAACACACCTAAGCACGAAATCACCAACTTAAACATAGAAAATAAAATAATAACCGAACCAAAAGAGATTGCCGAAAAATTTATGCAGCATTTTAATGATATTTCAGGCTCCTATGAACGTAATGGAACAGGAAATAATGGAAATAATATAGATAGAAACAGTCACTCTTTCTATTTTCAACCCGCTGTAAGTTGTGACATAATATCAATAATAAATAACCTTAAAAACTCCAACTCTACTAGCGCAGATAAAATTAGTTCAAATATTTTAAAAGATGTCATCTAGTTTCCTTAGCCAACCTCTAGCATTTCTAATTAATTGTTCCATTGAGGAGGGGACATTTCCAGATAAACTTAAAGTTGCAAAAATTAAGCCCTTGTTCAAGTCTGGTGATAACCACGACATCTGTAATTTTAGGCCAATCTCCCTAATCAGTCCCTTTGCGAAAGTATTTGAGAAATATGCTTCCTTACAAATTGTCAATTTTTTTGACAGTTTCAAATTATTCAATAGCATACAGCTTGGATTCAGAAAAGGTTTGTCAACCAAAAACGCTGTGCTTCATTTTCTTGATGAACTGTATTTGAAAATGGACAATGGTGAAAAGTGTGTAGGAATATTTCTTGACTTGAGTAAAGCTTTTGACTTAGTTGACCACGTAATACTTTTGGATAAATTGGATAGATATGGAATCAGAGGTAAGCCATTTGACTGGTTTCACAGTTATCTAAGCAACAGAAAACATTATGTTGAAGTACTGACTGCACAGTCTGACCAGCACCTATATCATACAGGGGTTCCACAGGGTTCCATACTTGGTCCTCTCCTATACATAATATATGTCAATGACTTTCCCGCCAAATCCTCGGTAATGTATGCTGATGATACCTCATTACTTATTAATGGAAAAAACCTGGAGTCAGTGATAAGAAATGCCAACACAAGCTTAGCTAGTGCAGAGCAATGGTTCATTAATAACGGCCTGGTCTTAAACCACAAAAAGACAGTGTTTCTGAGATTTAACTACTCTAACATGCACATGGATCGTAGTCTCCTTATAAAATCAAGCGGTAGATCCATGGAACAAGCAGAAACTATAAAATTTTTAGGAATACACATATCGCAAAACTGCAAATGGGATACGCATATAGAGAAAGTTAGTCAAAAGATTACCTCTCTTTGCTATTGCATGTACCAGCTGAGTTTTATCGTTGATAAGTGAATATTGTTAATGTTTTACCATGCACATTTCCATTCTACTCTGACTTATGGAATAGAAGCATGGGGAGCATCCTCCAAGTTACAAAGACTTCTTATATTACAAAAAAGAGCTATTAGAACTATTGCAAAGGTGGGAAGGCGCTTTAGTTGCAAGGAACTATTCACAGATTTGAAGATTTTGACGCTGCCTTCAGTATATATATTGAATATATTGATTTACGTCAAATCTCACCTGAACAATTTTAGTTCTATAAATTCTGGAATTTATAATACTAGAAACAGAGAAGTATTGGAGGTGCCGGCACATAGGTTGTCTAGGACGGAGGAGAGTGCCAAATACATGGGAATAAAACTCTTCAACAAACTACCCATTGATTGTAAATCACTACCGCTGATATTATTTAAAAAAAGAATCAGGCAAATTTTACTTGATAAAGCTTTCTACTCTATAGAAGAGTTTTAATGAGTGATAGTCTTTTTTAATTGTTTTAATGTATTGTTCAAACACACTTGATACGGTGCGATACACTTAGTTTTATCACATTAGTCAATCATTTAAGTTGTGTGTCGATTATACATGTGTATTAGAGTATCTGGCAGGGTTCGTAGTTGCAATGGGGAATGAAATTTCAAAACGACAATTCTTTTATCATTCTAAACTAAAAGACGTCCCTGGAGGCTTGATTGGCGTGGAAGTAATGAAACTATGCCGCATCCTTGAGAGACGTTCAAGGGAGGATTTAACAGAAGGCAGTTGTCATCACATGCTGTCATCGATGTCAGATTTTTTTTGCTGGCTACCTATTTAAGCATTTTGATGATAAATTCGGCACGGGTATTACGTAAAAAACCTATAAAACGTCAAAAAACCTATAAAATGTCATCTTGCAGACTAGGTAGTTTTTAGGGTGCAAACAGTCGTTCCACGTTTACTCACTAGGATCGTTGTGAGCGTCCATCTATGGAGAAATGACTCAACTAAACTACACCCATTGTTGGTTGTATATGTGAGTAATCTGTAGTTTTTATCTCTGAGAAGAAAATTGGTTGAGTAGCAAGATCGCATCTGGATGATATGTGTAGGTATTGGTCTGCATGTGTATAAAATCAGTGATATTTGCTGTGTGAGAAAATTATTACTGAATGTGCTTTCTGAAGAGAGGTTATGTTCAAAGTTATAAATTACGAAGGACTTTGAGGAGAATTACGGGAAATCACCACCGCGCCCGCGTTGTATGTAATTACTGTGAGCATGTATTTGGCTTGTAATTCGACAGTGTACAGTAAATATAATTATTTCTTATCTCTCTCACTTTTGAAATTCAGCAAATTTGCATATGTAATTTCCAGAATGGATAAGAAAAAGTTGTTGCGCATCTAATTTTTAGCTTTGTATCTCAATTAAGTGTATTCAAGACAAGAACCCAGTGTAATTATCATCAACACATACAACTTACAGCTTAGACCTCCAGTAATGCCATCTCAGAAGCAGATTTTACATCACATCAGAGCCAAAGATTGATAAAAAGCCTCATGACGTTTAGGCAACACGTACAACTAAGTGCTAAGTTAACATCTTGTAGAAAAACCTACATAATTGTTAAAAAAACCAGCATAATGTCAAAAAAAATCAGCATAATGTCACTTTCCAAGATACGGGATACCCGTGCCGGACGGTTTGGTTTTTTTTGCTGAATGTTACAAATCTACTGTGCTTGAACCTTGGACAGCTTATAACCAGCCAAACAAAAAAAAAGATCGAGATCTGTGAAACGGTTTATGAATCTGAATTTGGGATCGAAAAAAATTCTAGCCATCTAGAATTCACCTCCGGACCCAAAAAAAAGGATGGAAATTTCCCGCTAATACTGTGATTGAATAAGTTACAAAAAAACTTTACAAGATAGCAGAAAACCGAGACTGCATACAGAAATTCTGGCGTGAAAAACTTCATATCAGATTATATGACTTTTGTATCGAGCCTTATTTACTAAGCGCTCCTAGAAAATGA